CACATCACTGTGGTACAATAAACTCCTATCAAATTTATATAATGCTTATTTAAAGTATTTGTGATTACGTCTACAAATATGTGGTTATTTAAATATTTACAAGCAAAAAGGTTCTAAGAAATTAGCTTTTTAACAGGCTAATATTAATATAAAGTTTTAATGTAATTATTAACTTCAAGTTACATGAGAAAATGTTACTGGTAAGCCAAGAATGATAGTATCACAGGATTTAGTAGATGAAAATGATAAATTGTTGTAGAAAAATATGAAAAGTCTTATTTTTGAATATTAGAAAACTGCAGGCAAAAAATGCAAGACAGAGCCTTATTAAGATTGATTTACACATTACTTATATATATATATATCGTCCCTAGTGATTCAGTGGTACATCTGCCAGCTCACACCAGTAAAAACCATATTTCCATTCTCAAGTTGGGCATAAACACAAATAGCACATTATAGTGTTCTGCTTTACAACAAACAAAACTTATTTATAATTTATCAATTAGTGTATATTGTATACATCCATACACATATGTGCATATTGTATACAGTTTTTAGAGTACAATTTATTTATTTTTATATATCCATTTGTTAAAGAAAACTGTAATACAGGCTAAGCCAAAAGGACTTAAAATTGTAGTAATAATGAAATATGTTTGCAAGTTTTAAAAATAATTACTAATAGATATACATACCTATATGAGAATGATTTTTTGCTGTAATTGTTGTTCAACAGAATAGGCTAATAAGCCTATTTTACAAAATATCTACTTTTAATAATATTGATAATAATATATGTTTCACAATGCAGTTAAGGTTTGATGGTTAGGAAGTTTGACTTGCAATCTAAGGGTCATGGGTTTCAATCCCCTTCACACCCAAAATGCTCACTATTTCAAATGTAGTAGAATTATATTGTGACAGTCAATCCCACTATTACTTAGTACGAGCAGCCCAAGTTGGCAGTTGATGATATTGAGTAATTGCCTTTCACTCTTGTCTGTAACTGCTAAATTGGGGATGGCTAGTGGTAATAACCCTTGCTTAGCTTTTCACAAAATTAAAACCACATCACAATGCATTTCTTTAAGTTAAGATTAAAGTTAAAGCCAGTTTTTTTGCCTTTTTTTGTAAATCAAAAAGCATACATACGCTGATACAGTCTGCTACATTTATGTTAAAGTATTTTAAAAACAAATCTGCATTTTAAATTAATAAGTATTATATAATACTTCTGTTTTATACGTTAGCTCTAGCAGTAACAGTCTACCGTTGTCATTATTTCAGTATTTAGCTTCCTAAGCTACAGGTCACAACCAGAAAGTGAGAAACGCGCAAATAGGCCGGACGAGTTAAGCCTACTTTAGGACTAACGTCATAAGTTGAAAAGGTTTAAGCAATGCATTCTACTTGAATAACACAAAATACTCATAGTTTTATAGTATTAGAATCAGACAACCCTTTGGGTCATTCAACATCGTTTTATTAGTAGCAAAACTTTTGTTCACAAAATGTGAAAAGTTTTAATTTTATAACTTTCAGGCATATGCAACACGTCTATACCTACAACTATACAAGACTAAGTTAAATTAGGCCTATAAAACTTTCGTTACAAACAAAGGTGAATTACACTTATCCTGTTAGAGAGAAACCGAGAAAGTAACTGGATATAATTATTGTACTCATTCTATTTCTATTCTTCTATATATATTCTGTATTAGCTAACCTCGAAGATGAGTATGAATAAAGCTTCTAGTTAAACATTAAACGATCAAGTTAAACCTCATGTAGCTATGACATACTTAGGCCTATACCAGCCTCCTAAGTTCTAGTTCCGCATAGTTCTTGTTCTTACTTCTAGTACAGATCTAAGGGAGCATAACTTAAGTTACAGTCACAAAGCTATAAAAATTAACATATAAAATATAAAAAAATTGGTATACAGTGTTGCATTGTTAAAGTTTTTAGTAAGGGATAGTTTTCAACTATCTTCAGCAATCGCCTTCAGAAGCTCATGATAATAATACGATTACGTGTTTTTGGCTTCGTTACCCCCTTCTAATTTAGTAATGTTACATGTACATGTAATATATACGATTTGTTTCCTTACCCCGTTGTTCAACATAGTGATGCATCATGCGTACTTGTTTGTTGTTGTTGTTGTTTTTTGTTGTTGTTTTTTTACTGTGGATATATGGATTAGAAATTGCAGTGTGTTGGTGGTGTTGTAAGAAGATCGAGTAAAAGAAGATATTTTTTAAATTTTGTAATTATCACGAAAAAATAATTAGGTTGTTTTTTATTTTTTATAGTGCATTTGGTATGTTGGTGGATCTTAAGCGTGTATCCTTATGCCACGTTTCACTTAACAGTATTGAGTGTGTGTAATTAGCTTATTTCGATGTTTTGTTTTCTTGTCTTTATTGTTCTTGTTATTAATTTTTTTGATGTAATTATGTATATTATTGTCTTTATTTGTATCATTTTTTATGCATGTGCCCCCTCTATGAGGGTAGTTAAATAAAAAAAATAGTGTAAGATGTTGTTTCGGTGTTTGTTTTGTGTATAAATGTTGATTAATAAATTCTAACTAAACGTCACCCGATCGATTCCTGTGTTATTAATATGTGAGTATCTTCACGAACGTCGGCGAATTCCATATTTAACAATACAT